CCTTATTCTATTATCTACAGATAGCCATGTTCTAACATCTGCATATGTCCTAGTCTAATATCTACAGGTATCCATGCTCTAACATCTACAAATATGCAAGCTTTTATATCAAAAGTTATCCAAGTTCTAACATCAACAGAAATGCGGGCTTTTATATCAACAGATATCCACGCTCTAACATCTGCAAATATGCACGCTTTTGTATCTACAGATATCCACGTTCTAACATCTACAGATATCCACGTTCTAACATCTACAGATATCCATGTTCTAACATCTACAGATATCCACGCTCTAACATCTACACATAGGCATGTTTTTTATTCACAGTTACACACGCTCCTACAGCTTCAGAAAAAATGACAAACTTATTGTGGTGGTTTAATTGATTTATTTACAAAATACAGCATAATAACGACTCAAAGAAACTTTGAGAATATCAAAAAAATACCTTATGATACTAGAACAAAACACCTGCAATAAGAAACCTCTTCTCTGCTGTAAACAAGACAATGTAATATAATATAATTACAATATAATTGAAAATTTCACATATTTACGAAAATTCGGCTATATTTAATCACATAATCTTAAACACAATATCAGCAAATTGACTGATGCATATTTGTTAATATTTTTTATTAACATCTGCTCATATCCAGCTCTCGTATGGTTTAAAACATTAAAATCTTAACTTCTAAAAGTATTTACAAATACCATGAGGCTTACATAAAAAACTATAACAGTATTTACAAATACCGTGAATATAACAGGGATACTATATAAGTATTTATGCTTCTACACTCAAAACAGAAACAACTTGAACCACCAAATGAATGAAAATGGCCACCAAGATGGTGATATTTGAATTTATTCCAAAAAAGGCACTTTAATGACTCTGATCATGAAAAATCATATTACGTGAAAGATTTTTTTTGCAATGTTATAAACATATGAGCAACTACCAAACAATATGAACAAAAAATGTCAGCTAGTCTAAGTGGGGTTGGCCAATAACCACCACAAAGACACTTCTGAGTAAAACATTCAGAATGTCTTCCCCACAAAAGTATTTACAAATGCAATGAAGCTAACATAGATACTATGACAGTATTTACAAAGCCATGAAGCTAACAGGGATACTATTTACAATTACTATATGTGGATTTAGATTTTGTTTAGGGCAGTCCTGATATTAATTATCCATGCATTCTCTTACTCAATTATTGACATATGTATTACACACAAAACAGGTAGCTAGCTATCCAGATAACACACTTTATATAAGAGAAGGAGTTTGGTTTAGATAACCATTGAACGTTTAAAGCGAAAAGATAACTTTTTGAATAAGTGTTTTGATGTGAGTATTGATAAATTGATCCTTTAAGAAAGCATGGATACACAGTACTATATATTACATAAGTAGCTATGTGATAGATCTAAAACACTATACAAACTTTCAAAATCATCGATAAATGTTCCTCTAAGAAGGCAATGGATATATACTATGTTATATAAATTATCATTTCGTATGTCAGAGTTTCTGAGTTGAATTATCCATTGTGAGTCCAAAAGTAAACTTCTGGATGATATTTAAACTAAACGCATTTATCTAGCCAAATCAGACACAATCTGTGTTTGTTTTCGCTGGTAAATAAGTGCTTGTTGTAGCGTAGTATTTCCTGTCAATGCAACTTTTTAATCCGGTGATTTCCGGAGTACAAACATGTGTTGTGATATCATGGTTAGGCAATATGTGATTCACAAATTCCAATATTTCTGATAATTTAACACAGAAAGGTTACATATCACTAGCTAGGAGTCGAACACGTCCGGGCCCATCCTCGATACTCCAGAGGTTACATGTACACTCACTTTCGCTCTCTACACCCCTGGTATATGTAATAGCAAAATTGAAGGCACGCGACCGGCAATTTGATAAATCTCGGGCAGAAAGTATTTATTGAGTGTAACCCATGGAGTATATGCCCTAATTACTTAGAAAGAAGAGCATAGGTGCGGATTTAGTTTTTCCCATGATTTGTACTTGTCATGAACAAATTCATATTTCCTAGAAAATTTGGATGAATTATTTAGAGAAATCAGGTCACTAAGTCTCTATATTTAGTACAACATGTTATGCCAAAAGACCGAATTTCAATTAAAACATTTAAGTATTGCGTCTTGTATTAATATTTAGAAATTATCATTTTTGGGAAGAATGTATATTGTACACAGAATATTTGTCACTTTATTTTCATGTTCAACGTAAATGTTGGAAAATAATATGGATATGTGAGTATGTGTAATATCTCGTATGTCAAAACTTATGACATTATGTCATTACTGTGGGAAATTCTATTACGATATTCTTACTTATATTATCTTACATTGCGACAAAACTACTGAAACAAGCAAATTCGTGGAATTTATATCCCCCGCTTGCAGGACATATTGTAGGTTAACATTATTGAGGTTAGGTGGTTTAAACATGTGAGTATCGTGCTGTTGAGACTGATGTATAGCTTGAAACTTGAAGAAAAAAAAGCCCTATACCTCATTGATTATCCGTAAATATGCACAAATCACATCGGTTGGCAAACTAAGCATGAGTCGGATGTGCATACGGAATTTGGTTGAAACATCTGAACATTGTTATCAAGTTTGAAGGAATCTGGCTATTACTTGCTAGAGTTATTAAGCGGAAACTGCAGATACAAACATTTTTTGTTAATCAAGGGGTCATAACACTGCCAAATGGAGTCTGATTAAAGTGGTTGTCAAACTTGGTTGAGCCCTTAATGCGTTGAACCAGGTTACTAAGGTTACTAAGTTTGAAGATGCTCAGATAATATTTGCGAGGATTAATGAACGGCAGATAATGACGTTTTTCGTTATTCAAGGGACCATAACCCCGCAAAATGGGGTCCGCTGAAACTGGTCATCGAACTTGGCCGAGCCCTTAAGGCATTGAATCCTCTGACCAAGTTTAAAGAAAATCGGTTAACATTTGTTGTAATTATTGCACGGAAACGAAACACAGTAGATAATGACGTTTTGCGTTATTCAAGGGGCCATAACTCCGCCAAAGTGGTCCGCTGAAAGTGGTCATCGAACTTGGCCGAGCCCTTAGGGCATTTAACCCTGTGACCAAGTTTGAAAAAAAAAACCCGGTTTACATTTGTTGTAGTTATTGCACGGAAACAAAGCGTGACAGACATTGGGACAGACAGACGGACAAACCCAAATTAATATCCCCCGCTTTCGGTGAAAGCGGGGGATAATACGAGACAATTGTGTAGCCATTTAATTAGTATATTGGAAATACATGTACAACACAATTAACATCTGCATAATTTACAAGATTTTGATTTGTCTAATACCTTATTGGAGAATAAAGAGAATAATAATAACAAAATTGTGTTTGATTAATTTCAATTCGACCATAAACATGTTTTCGTCATTGTTTGCAGACCTATTGAATCAAGCAATATATAAATAATTGTACGTATTACAAGTTTGAAATCATCGCAAACAAATTGTTGGAGGCAAAAATCCGAAAAATATGTAAACAAGTTTACAGAACAGTATTTGTTATGGTGTCAGTATAATTTAATTTAACAATATTTGCTAAAATATTCATTATTTATATTTACATTTTGATAGAGAAGTAATGCTTTATTTAAGTTATTTCAAACAGTTTTTGAACCGCAAATGAAGTATTGACAACAATGCAACAAAAGACGTCACAATAGAGATTGATGACGTTACATTAGCAAATGTTGTTATAGTCTCAAAACAACATTTGCCTTCACAATGCATTACGGTGGAAAGATGCAGAGCAAATGTAAATAAAGTGCTGTAGTTTACAATGAAGCATAGGACAGGGGATGGTCCAAAACCCCGAAATGTTAAAAGGTACACAACTAGGGAAATAGGAGTATGATCGTTAGTTTGCTGATTATCTCGGGTTTCTTTCTAATTTTAGTACATCTCTCTTCATATCCGTTATATCTGTATTTCTTGGAAGCGTTTTTTTTTTACCTAAAGCTTTTAAGATTATCGAAACAACATGTTGTGTCAAAAGACCGAATTCCAATTAAAACATTTAGTTGAAAAAATATACATGGTATTAACGGGAATCATATACATGGTATTCCACGGGAAAACTGACCAATACAGCATTAGCGCTTTTGGATTCCATGTTTTCCTTACTTCATCGTAACTTCCTCTTCCAGAAAAATTCGTAACATCCATTGACGAAATCATAATATATTTCCATTTTGCTTTTAACCATACCAGTCCCATTGTACTATGGTTTTTTGTATACTAGTATACAGCTTCCCCTTATTTCGTTTCAAAAATAGAACTAGAATAGCTGAACCAGAATACTTCCGCTGATTAGTTTACATTCCTGATTATTTTAGCTGAAGTTATCATTATCATTTTTTAAAGAAAACTCTGCAAGGGATGGCTTTCTTTGCACAAATGACTTATCTGCGCTATATGGGTAGCTACAGCTTTTGGCAGTGGTACATGGATCCTTAAGCTATGACTACTGGCTACGTGTACAAATCACATAACAGTAAAGCTTCTTGTTAACGTAAAACTTTGAAAGTTCGGTTCGAAATTTTTTGTCCATAAAACCATATATGAAGGGATTGATGACGTGGTTAAGTAAAAATAAATTACAAATGATGTTCACCAGGATTCCATAATTGTTCTCTAAGGTATTGGATAAAGATGAATTGAAATGCAAGATCAGGGTAAGAATAAGGTAGGGGAGATACACTCCAAAAGATATTATCGAAACGATAAGGAAAACAAAAGTAATAGCCCTGCTTCTGTCCAGTTGCCTTTGTCTCTTATGATCATTACGTGTTAGTGTGTTAATATGATAAATTCCTGTAACTCTCGATTGTTGTTGTTGATTGCTATGCCGAGTTTTGGTGACATTGCCCTTCATGACAGTGTCTTGTGGAACTGTCGGCATCACACAACTCTCTCGAAGCTCTCGAAGAACATCAACATCAGAAACACAACTTGCCGCCGTGGCCGAGGTCTCAATGTCACCGGACATGTCATTCTCCTGAGATCTGTTGTCTTGATTGCGGCCATTTTTGGGGAAAATTGATTTGCTTCCTGTTTGATTAGATTCCTGCCCGCAGAACGTTGTTATTGCTGATATAGCAATACCATTATTTCTGAGATTGTTCTGATGAGCATATATCTTCTTCCTGATCAAAATATACATCACAGCTGATATGATTACAACGGAAACGTAAATGGTGAAAACAGATCCCATGTATGTTTTCGTAAGCGTTGAACCCTTGAAATGATCTAACACATCACACTCAAAGCCAAGCAACGAATGCGCCTGAGTTGTTTTCCGGTTGATGCCGTAAATAATAGTCACAGGAATTACAACCATGACTAATATAAAAACAAAGGTAACTGCACACACAATACGTGTTATCCGTGTAGTGAATTGGTGACGAGTGGCGTGACATACCTGCCGATAACGTTCAACAGCTATCCAGGCCAGAATCAACAAAGAGTATGTTCCTACCGAGTACATGATGGCGCGGTACACCTTGCAGTACGGCAAAGATTTATTGTTTTTGGATGTCTGATGAAGTATAGTGTTGCTGGGATACAAAAGGTACATCCAACGAAATCTACGCCAGCTAAACACAAAACAAATATTTGATGTACGCTTGTTTTGAATCGCAGCAAATACACCAGAAACACGTGTGTATTACCAACCGTCCCGACGATACAACAAACTATCAGATAAGCCATGCTAGGTATTGCATTTTTCTTGAATTCGTCGTAATCCTCTTCTTCAAGAGAATACGTAACGCTTTGAGACGAATTCATCTGAAATTTTGATTTGACGGTTGAAAGTTTGTGTATCTGTATCTGTTGGTGTGTATTGAACTATGTCTCTTTTCCCTCAGTGACGATTTAAATATTAAGTTAGTCCGGGTTCTCCAAAATAAGGATGCATTTTCATTTGTTTGAGTTGTAATATCCGGATATTCTATTTCCGTGTTGTCTATTACTCACGCCCCGAATATTAATACATTGTTCTAAAATGGCTAACCACGCTAACCATTGCTATATGGGCATCATTATATCGCCCCGAACTTTTCTTGGTGGATTTAAGATATCCTAACCGATCAAGCCAATATTAAGACGTTAGGACATTATTGGAGCTTAATGAAGATGAAGTACAGGTCAGCCATAGACATACAATGCAAACAAATTATAAGCTACATTACTGAAGGGGATTTCAATAATAATGACTTATTTCAATACCTCAGCTAACAATGGCACTGAGTTGCGACCCGGTTTAACTTGTGATTAAATCTGACAATATCTTGTACATAAGTTTACAGAAATATGCATTTACAGTGAAAGCCTGAATAAGTACTTGACAAACTGTTGAGGATAAAGGATAGAACATGCGGGTAAATATTCCAGTTGGTTTTATGAATTATTTTTAATTGTATTTAATGAACATTCGATTGGTAAGACGTAGGAGTTAAGCAATAATGATTTTTGTCTTTACTATCGATGTTTTATTATCTTCATAGTGACAAACGTATTGTGACGAGACTTGCAAACAGCTAGCCTTTATTTTCTTCCGGTTATTTATACTAAACAACACGGACGGAATTCGTCATTGCGTTTCACGTTTGGCCTGGTACCTAAGTCATATATACATATAAAGTTAAGTTTGGATGTCACTGCACTGTGTATTTTCCTATATAAAGACACCCTTAACTTGCGTTTGGATATAACTGTTGCAGAGTTTGGCAAGAACCCTCCGTTGACCAAGTCCAGAAGCACAGTCGGTTAGAACAACGGTATAGCAATCCATGGTCCAGGGTTCGAATCTCAGTCTAGGCAAGGTTTTTTTCACTCAGGAGACTGTTGATAATAATCATCTGGTTATTTTTCATGTTTTCATGCCGGAAAAACAGTTCCAACACTTAGTTACAGGTAGTCGCAGTGGTTCAGGGATCTGTAATACAGGTCTATTATTTTGAGATAAAGGTCCCTTTGTATTTGGAGGATGTGATATATTTGATTGTTTTACCAAAATAACGTAAAATATGATATTTAACCGATATTTTCTTCTATCATTTAATTTTGAACCGTGGTGACCATGAATATAGCGAAATTGAACACCCAACTATACGATATTGTTGTTTTTCGTGTTAAATAATATGTGTGTATAAACATATCGATTTCGCTTATTTTGTGTCATTCATGACATTATTTTTTTTTGCTGAAATAATGCATTACTTAAAACTTAAGGAATACATTTCTTATAGATAAGTGTATATGAATTACACTTGTATGATACAACTGTGATAATGCATTTATTGGAGTGTGTTTTCAAAATTCATAAAATCCTGATTGGGTGTCTGTTTAGATTCTTTAAACATGATTTGAGTGTCTTTTAAAGATTCGTCAATCCTGACTGGAATAGCTTTTTAAGATTCACAAATATTGATTGGAGTGTCTTTAAGATGCAATTTTATTTCATGATTCCATTATAATCGAAGAAATACCAGTGAAATAATACATGTCCTTTCTAGACATATATAAAGCGTGTGGCTCAGTCTTTCAATTTGTAAAGTTCATTTGAAGTTTCCTCTTATGACAGTATTTTTCAAAAGCTTTCAGAACTTTTTGTAACCGTCAATTTGTTGCTGACATAGTATTTTCAGGACAAAAATTAGGTTAATCCACAAGGTAATTGCGTGATTGGTTCTGCTAAGTACGTATCAAAATAATATAAGGGTAACAACACTGCAAAGTACCAAGATCCTCAGGGTCACATTTGTTTCAATTAATAGGATTTAAGGTACTAACGGTCAATGACTCGGTATTTCGCCTGCTTTCATCAGTATAATATTAAGCGGTGAACAAAATAGACAAGGAAGCAGAAGTCATATACTGTAAAATCAGTCATTTTCGTGGTGTTTTCAATTTTGTTGATTTCTTTGGTAATCTTCATCCAATAGGTCAGAGGTTCACGAGGTAATTACAAGTTTGATATAAAGCAATTCTCGGTTTGGGAGAATACTCGTAATCCACGAATCAATGTACCAACGATATGGTGTTTTTTGTCGGGAAACCAAGAAGGTGTGCCCCACGAACACATCTGATTTCACAGCATACTTCATTTATGCTTTCATGGACTCCTTATGCTCTGTTGCTTCTTAGCTTTACTATTGCAATTATCATTTGCTCTCGTCCGTTATTTAAACTATGAATTGATTTCAATGAACACTGGCTCGTCAATATCAGATAAATTAGTTTGGTTTAGTATTGTGTAACGTCTTATCAACAGCTATGGTCATTAAGTCCCACTCCTAAATAGCTGAGCGTTAAGCATGAGTAGAAACTACCATTTTACAGACTCTGGTATGTCTCGGCCAGGGGACAGAACCCAAAGCCTGCCTCACAGGTGCGAACGCTCAACTAAAGGCCAAAATTGAGGCATTGTCAAGGGAGATTCAATATCAGATAGAATAAATTCCTCAACTTGTTAATCAGTGTTTTAAATAAGAGGATAAGTTGTATTACGATTTTGACCTATTCTGCATTATCGTAAAGATATTAAACTTTTTTTTTTACATATGTACGCCAGTGGAATTATTAACTTTTTAATAATGTCCCTGGTCAAAAAACAAATGTTTACAGAGCAGCTAGACTGTTTACCTAACTTCAATGTTTAATGTTTAATGATACCATTTCATAGTCATTCTCAATTTACATGTCTTGCATATAAATACTGACTGTCATATCTAATTCCCGCATGTATGATAAAAAGATATATAAAAGTTTACATTTAACGGTGTATTTAATTCATATCTGAGAGTGATGAAATAGGTGATAACAGGCGTCGAAACATTCACCTCGGAGGTGATGTAATAACGTTCAAAATAGAAGTCGGGTAAACGATGAGTTCATTGTGTTGATATACACGCAGGCAAGCGCATCAACTTCCTTGTTTGTAGAAGCGTACAGTTATAGGTAATATCGCCCTAGCCTTTTAATATTAACAGTTTACGTCGACTGCTTTAACATCCCCTATGGACAAAAAGTTACCCCCACAACATAATAATAAACACGTGTTTCACTGTTGACAAAAAGTAACTTTCACATCACAATCAAGTTACGTCTTTCACTAACATATACTACATCAGCTTCGACTGTTTAATGTAGACTTGTAAATCACAAAACATCGTAACCAAATGCTTCATTTTGTTATGGCAATTTAGGTGTTTCATAAACTTATCAAATGTTTCAGTGATACAATATTAAGTTGCTTTTCACGTTTAACTTTAAATATCCTTTTCAAATGTAATACAGACATAAATAATATGGTTCATCCCAAAGGTTAAACTCACTTTCTTCGCTGCACCCATGGAGTAATAAGTAATGACAAAATCGAAGAATATGTATGCGCCACTGTGTGAATAATAAAAGGACACTAATTTGATCCTGTATGCACTTCAAAAAAAAGAATCGCGCAGCAATGAACGGTAAAATTGACTCGCTTTGAAGTCGGGTTTCGCTACCCTGAAATCTTTAAAAGGCAGGTATCAGCCAAGCTACTGGTTTGCTTCTCTTTACCCGGCTTTATTCAAATAACTAACTCCGTGCCTTCGATTTACTCATGCCGTATTCCAATGGTGCAGAAAACGAAAGTGAGCATAACTCCGTTGATTTCGAGGATGGGGGTTACCTGGTAACATCGCCGTTCTTTATAATACACGTCCTTATCACTGCAATTTGTATCTATTAAAACACAGTATTAAATATTCACGTCTAGAAATGTACATGTTTTAATATATGTAACGTGCAAAATGTAAGTAACGCAAAGCAGAATATATCTTTCAGGTTTCTACCTGTCGTCCGCAGTGGAAAAGTCATTTTCAGTCATGATTCTGCATCAAAGAACTCCCTGTTAGTCATTATTTCGCAGCGGGAGGATTATTCTATCTTCAAAAATACATGACTTGCCTTATTAGTCACGTCTAAAAACACAGCAGCAACGCGCCATTTTAATGTAACAATTTGATAGTTCATTTCGAAATTTATTATCCATAAAACCATACACTATTGGATTAATGGCATTGTTAAGGAAAACCATCCACCGAATGAAGACGTCCAGGGCTGCATAATTGCTTGCAAAGTTTTCAAATAAAGATCTGCTGATATTCCGAACCAGGGTGGATAATAGGTAGGGGAGATAACCTCCGAACGACATTATTGACACGACTAGGAAAACCATAGTTATATTTCTGCTTCTGTCAAGTTTTTTTCTCTTGCGTTCATTTAATGCGTCAAGATACGTATTTCCGGTTCCGGTTAATTGGCGTTTCTGGTCGTCATAACCTGTCTCAGAGATATTAGTCTTTGCGTTAACGACGCGAGCATCTGTCGACAAAACAAAGCGCTCTGTAGAAACATTATAAGCAAAACTTCCGGGTGCGGTTGTGGCCGAAATTGATAGATCACTTGATATGTCCTTCTCTTGAGAATATCTGTTGGTGCTGCGGCCATCTTCTGAGGAAAGGGAATCACTTCCGTTATGTTTAGATCTAGGCATGCAACACATTGTTCTTGGCAAGTCATCTGTGCTTTTGTGCTTTTTCTGGTGAGCATAAATCTTCATAACGACCAAAGAATACAACACAACTGAAACGATCAATAATAGAACGAATATGAAAAATATAAATCCCCTGTACACTTTTGTCAGCGTTGAACTTTTGAAGTGATCTAACACTGTACATTCGTAGCCTAGCAACGAATGAGTAGGAGTTTGCTTCCGGTTGATGCCGTAAATGATAGTCACTGGAATAACAATCACGACCAACACAAAAACAAAGTTTGCAGCACACAATATACGTGTTGTCCTTATCGTAAACTGGACACGAGTGGCTTGACAAACCTTCCGATAACGTTCCACAGCTATGCAGTCCAGAATCAACAAGGAAAACGCTCCCACGAAGTAAGAAGCGGCTCGGTTTACCTTGCAGAACAGCGACGATTGCACTGTGTTTGGATGTCTGATGATATATAGCGTTGCTGGGATACAAAATACACATCCGAGTAAATCCACGACAGCTAAACACAGTATAAATGTTTTATATACGTTTGCCTTATATTTTAGAAAATATGTCAGAAACACGTGTGTATTTCCAACCGTCCCGACGACACATAGAACTATCAGATAAGCCGTGATAGGAATACCATTCTTCTTGAACTCGTCGTAATCTTCTTCTTCCAACGAAAACGTAATGTTTTGAGACGAATTCATCTTAATTCGACGAGTGAACAGTTTGGCATGTCAAAATGATCTAACATCTAGCCCACGCTGAACCTCACTGTATCAAATATATGCAACAAAATCGACGAGACAGGCTACTTAAAGCGACCCCGTAACAGGAAGTGAAATGTCTAAGATTTGAAATTTTATCTCGGTCAAATTACTTCCTCAATCACACGTTTTTTCGGTTTTCCCAACCGATTTACAATCATCCATCTATGCTAGTCTACACAGTAGACAGCCGGAAGAAGTATTTTCACAAACAGTCGTAAACGCACAACAATTACGAATATTGGAATGTCGCACTACTTTCAGTGTTATGATACAGAAAACAGTTGCAGACGGTTGCACTTGAGCAAGTAAGAATATCAGCTTACGTATCAAGCAAATTAAAAAAAGCTTTTTTAGGCCTGGAATTTCATTAATAATACAGATTCATTACAGACCCCCCCCCCGAGTGTTCAGACATGCCATATGTAATTCCATTGTTATATAACAATAACCAAACAAGAGGCCCATATGTCCTGAACAACTCACCTATTTCTGTTATATCTGAAGTAGGCAAGTGGTTGAAATGCCTCAGTCAGCTTCAAACCAAATTCCTCAATATTCAAATAACACTAAAAGGGCAATTTCGGGGACATTTCTTCAGCTTCAAACGAGTATTGCCCTCCATCAATATTCATGATAATAGACATAATGTGGAGTGGGTGCACGTGGAGCATCTGTGAGTTAATTTCATAAAGTATCTTCATGATAAAAGGGGTTAAAACAGAATGGACTATCTGTTGTGCACGTCTTCTACAGCCAGACGTCAAATGTCTTTCAAGTTCCTTCTGTTTTCCATTATATTCTACGTTACTTAACTGTTTTCAAAATATCAAAATATCCTGTTATAGAATTATCGAGCGTTATTGTGGTATTATTTATATCATTATCTGGGTCTCTGTTGTCGAGATATCACTTTTCATCCCATCACAGAAAAGATACATTGACGTCGTTCCCATAGACAGTGTGTAATTTTGCCGTATAGATAGTTTTGGTCAATTAACTCATCATGCTTAAGCAAACTAACATAGGATCTAATTAGAAAATGATAACGTGGAAGACCTCTGACTGTACTTTGTTGTTTGTGGCGCTTGTTCTTAATACACTTTCGTTTGGACGACATTTGGGTAAAATGTATATCCAGAATATTGGTCTTGAATCAAATAATATGAGAGCATTATTCACATCAAATTAGTTTGCTACTGGCTTTTGTTCAGAGTTGAAAAGCTGCTGAAAATGTTGGGAGACAATCAGTTAACTGTGTATTCCTTTGGTGAATAATCCAATTAGCGTGAGTTAATGACACCAAAATATTATCTACGACCTCAAAAGTCAGAAAGTCTATATTTCAGTCACTCAAACGCACGGATAAAGGAGTGGTGGGTTTCTAATCACGTAGTGTCTGGTGACATCGTCGTCAAATTGGCTCTATTGGGATACCGATGTCATATTGAAGGTTATATACATTGTATGTGGTCGTGGAATACTAGTTAAAAACACTTCCGTCTTGAAGTAAGATCTGTCTACAGTACAGTTCTGGTTGGTGGCTAGAGCTGACCGTTTTCTATGATAGCTTCCTTTTGTGATCAGCTCGATGATCAAACGAAGCTGTTGACATGAGTTCATCTATCACAATTAATACCATAGTATGTATACCATGTTTTTCTTCAATAGGGATTCCTTTAAGGAACTTAAGTTGGGATGACTGTAGAGTAGATGACGATCATCTCTTACGAGTCATACGATTCAATTAATATTGGTGGGGTACTGGATAGTTGTATAATTGTGCAGGGCTAATATTAAGCGGTTAACATGATCAGAACTAGTTTGCCGGGATTAAAATTCGCGCAACATGGTCAATTAAAAATATTGCGTTCACGAGGTTACTTTTGTATTTGGGTAATTGGAATTTATTCTACAGGAGTGTTATCGAAATAACGTAAAATACGTTAACAAAATGGTGTTTTATCTCCATAGTTCGGCAGTAAAAGGGTCTTTTCTTTATCTCTGTATTTTCGTGGTATTAATAATCGCTGGGTATTTAATTTCGCGTTATCTTTAGAGAGCACGAATAAAAGCACATTTTAATCCCCGCGAAAATTTACACTTATACAGTACTCTAAAGATTTCTTCAAAATTGAGTGACCAGTGATCGCATGGTCCAATTCCAACCCATTACAATAGAGGTTTGAGTCCTTTTTGTTCGCTTTTGAAGAAGCATCTGGATGAGATGTTATTTTCTCATGAAGTCGTTGCGATATACTAACTGTGAAAAGACAACTGAAGTTTAACATTTCGACACTTGTGCAGCACTTGCAACTTCGATGGCGGTCCTCGTTAGCGTTATATCATTACAAGCGGGCACGACTTGCTAATCTGATAATACAGATACTGGTTTACAAAGTGTTCATCTCCCCTTTATGCCCAGGAAAAGCATGGGATTTACAATATCTTTTGTTACTCTTATTTTGTAAGGATTCATATCATTTTCTTTAATACGGTTACATAGGTATGTTGGGTTTCACTTGATATGCTTACCAAGTCCTCGACCTTGAACCAAAAAGGTTTTGATGTGCTCTTATCCCTTACCAAGAGTGGTTTAAGCTTCTTCTGATCTACGCTCAAGTGATTCTATGAGACAGCCTCGTTTTCAGTATTTGTATCGTAAAGTGATTTCACATGAGTGCACAGTGCAGTCCTGCTTTGTAATTGTAAAAGGTGTCTTTTTGAAACGCCTTGAATGTTCGTATATGTATGTTCGAAGTCCTGGACACTTCCTCGTTATGTGAGTGATGTTATTTTTCTGGTCAGTAAGGGTTCGACTTTATTCCTATTCTCTACCAGGATCTGAACGTGCCTCTCGTAAGGGGGTCAATGTGCATTGTTAATTTCCTTTGTCTTTTGGTACAATGATTGTAGTCGATGGTCCTACATTATTTTCATCAACATAATAAATTAAAGCTATTGGTCATTAAAGCAATATCAATTGAAATTTACTTGCAGATTTGTGAAATCATTTCATACATGCTTGTTGACTTCATGGAATCCAGAAATATGCACATAGAGTTAGCCCCGATGTACAAATAGTCAAAATCTAGGTGAAAATCTTTATATATCTTTATATCAATACTTTTATCCACCACAAATTCTAATCATTAACAAACCTTTATCGATACATGCAATTTCACACATGATATACAACACATGATCAAAAAAGACATTATTTTTGAAAACGTGTCTTTTAAGATTGAGTTAAATTTCTTGCATACGTTACCAATATATTACTTTTTCTTTATATCTTTTCGTACCAAGTCGACTAAGGTTAAAAAAAATATATGACTTTACCCTTTAAAGGGGCATCACGGTGAAGTAACTTTATTTTTTGTCTTTTTTTCAAATACTACATAAACATTTCAAATGAGACTCCTTATGGAAAATAACGATCGGATTTGGCTGAAATAGATTCATAAAAATGATTAAATCTAAGAAAATCATCGGTATTTCTACCTGTCTGACCAACGTTTTGTTCAGGGATTTCCCTCTACTAGCGCATGCGCATAGCACTCCATTTCTTTGTAAACAAAATGACTCGCCGTGTGAAGTAAGCGAAAGAAAAGTGTTGTACCGTGTCAGCTACGAAACGAAANACAGTTTGGCATGTCAAAATGATCTAACATCTAGCCCACGCTGAACCTCACTGTATCAAATATATGCAACAAAATCGACGAGACAGGCTACTTAAAGCGACCCCGTAACAGGAAGTGAAATGTCTAAGATTTGAAATTTTATCTCGGTCAAATTACTTCCTCAATCACACGTTTTTTCGGTTTTCCCAACCGATTTACAATCATCCATCTATGCTAGTCTACACAGTAGACAGCCGGAAGAAGTATTTTCACAAACAGTCGTAAACGCACAACAATTACGAATATTGGAATGTCGCACTACTTTCAGTGTTATGATACAGAAAACACTTGCAGACGGTTGCACTTGAGCAAGTAAGAATATCAGCTTACGTATCAACCAAATTAAAAAAAGCTTTTTTAGGCCTGGAATTTCATTAATAATACAGATTCATTACAGACCCCCCCCCCCGAGTGTTCAGACATGCCATATGTAATTCCATTTTTATATAACAATAACCAAACAAGAGGCCCATATGTCCTGAACAACTCACCTATTTCTGTTATATCTGAAGTAGGCAAGTGGTTGAAATGCCTCAGTCAGCTTCAAACCAAATTTCTCAATATTCAAATAACACTGAAAGGGCAATTTCGGGGACATTTCTTCAGCTTCAAACGAGTATTGCCCTCCATCAATATTCATGATAATAGACATAATGTGGAGTGGGTGCACGTGGAGCATCTGTGAGTTAATTTCATAAAGTATTCTTCATGATAAAAGGGGTTAAAACAGAATGGACTATCTGTTGTGCACGTCTTCTACAGCCAGATGTCAAATGTCTTTCATGTTCCTTCTGTTTTCCATTATATTCTACGTTACTTAACTGTTTTCAAAATATCAAAATATCCTGTTATAGAATTATCGAGCGTTATTGTGGTATTATTTATATCATTATCTGGGTCTCTGTTGTCGAGATATCACTTTTCATCCCATCACAGAAAAGATACATTGACGTCGTTCCCATAGACAGTGTGTAATTTTGCCGTATAGATAGTTTTGGTCAATTAACTCATCATGCTTAAGCAAACTAACATAGGATCTAATTAGAAAATGACAACGTGGAAGACCTCTGACTGTACTTTGTTGTTTGTGGCGCTTGTTCTTAATACATTTTCGTTTGGACGACATTTGGGTAAAATGTATATCCAGAATATTGGTCTTGAATCAAATAATATGAGAGCATTATTCACATCAAATTAGTTTGCTACTGGCTTTTGTTCAGAGTTGAAAAACTGCTGAAAATGTTGGGAGACAATCAGTTAACTGTGTATTCCTTTGGTGAATAATCCAATTAGCGTGAGTTAATGACACCAAAATATTATCTACGACCTCAAAAGTCAGAAAGTCTATATTTCAGTCACTCAAACGCACGGATAAAGGAGTGGTGGGTTTCTAATCACGTAGTGTCTGGTGACATCGTCGTCAAATTGGCTCTATTGGGATACCGATGTCATATTGAAGGTTATATACATTGTATGTAGTCGTGGAATACTAGTTAAAAACACTTCCGTCTTGAAGTAAGATCTGTCTACAGTACAGTTCTGGTTGGTGGCTAGAGCTGACCGTTTTCTATGATAGCTTCCTTTTGTGATCAGCTCGATGATCAAACGAAGCTGTTGACATGAGTTCATCTATCACAGTTAATACCATAGTATGTATACCATGTTTTTCTTCAATAGGGATTCCTTTAAGGAACTTAAGTTGGGATGACTGTAGAGTAGATGACGATCATCTCTTACGAGTCATACGATTCAATTAATATTGGTGGGGTACTGGATAGTTGTATAATTGTGCAGGGCTAATATTAAGCGGTTAACATGATCAGAACTAGTTTGCCGGGATTAAAATTCGCGCAACATGGTCAATTAAAAATATTGCGTTCACGAGGTTACTTTTGTATTTGGGTAATTGGAATTTATTCTACAGGAGTGTTATCGAAATAACGTAAAATACGTTAACAAAATGGTGTTTTATCTCCATAGTTCGGCAGTAAAAGGGTCTTTTCTTTATCTCTGTATTTTCGTGGTATTAATAATCGCTGGGTATTTAATTTCGCGTTATCTTTAGAGAGCACGAATAAAAGCACATTTTAATCCCCGCGAAAATTTACACTTATACAGTACTCTAAAGATTTCTTCAAAATTGAGTGACCAGTGATCGCATGGTCCAATTCCAACCCATTACAATAGAGGTTTGAGTCCTTTTTGTTCGCTTTTGAAGAAGCATCTGGATGAGATGTTATTTTCTCATGAAGTCGTTGCGATATACTAACTGTGAAAAGACAACTGAAGTTTAACATTTCGACACCTGTGCAGCACTTGCAACTTCAATGGCGGTCCTCGTTAGCGGTATATCATTACAAGCGGGCACGACTTGCTAATCTGATAATAAAGATACTGGTTTACAAAGTGTTCATCTCCCCTTTATGCCCAAGAAAAGCATGGGATTTGCAATATCTTTTGTTACTCTTATTTTGTAAGGATTCATATCATTTTCTTTAATACGGTTACATAGGTATGTTGGGTTTCACTTGATATGCTTACCAAGTCCTCGACCTTGAACCAAAAAGGTTTTGATGTGCTCTTATCCCTTACCAAGTCCTCGACCTTACCAAGAGTGGTTTAAGCTTCTTCTGATCTACGCTTAAGTGATTCTATGAGACAGCCTCGTTTTCAGTATTTGTATCGTAAAGTGATTCCACATGAGTGCACAGTGCAGTCCTGCTTTGTAATTGTAAACGATGTCTTTTTGAAACGCCTTGAATGTTCGTATATGTATGTTCGAAGTCCTGGACACTTCCTCGTTATGTGAGTGATGTTATTTTTCTGGTCAGAAAGGGTTCGACTTTATTCCTATTCTCTACCAGGATCTGAACGTGCCTCTCGTAAGGGGGTCAATGTGCATTGTTAATTTCCTTTGTCTTTTGGTACAATGATTGTAGTCGATGGTCCTACATTATTTTCATCAACATAATAAATTAAAGCTATTGGTCATTAAAACAATATCAATTGAAATTTACTTGCAGATTTGTGAAATCATTTCATACATGCTTGTTGACTTCATGGAATCCAGAAATATGCACATAGAGTTAGCCCCGATGTACAAATAGTCAAAATCTAGGTTAACATCTTTATATATCTTTATATCAATACTTTTATCCACCACAAATTCTAATCATTAACAAATCTTTATCGATACATGCAATTTCACACATGATATACAACACATGATCAAAAAAGACATTATTTGAAAACGTGTCTTTTAAGATTGAGTTAAATTTCTTGCATACGTTACCAATGTATTACTTTTTCTTTATATCTTTTCGTACCAAGTCGACTAAGGTTAAAAAAAATATATGACTTTACGCTTTAAAGGGGCATCACGGTGAAGTAACTTTATTTTTTGTCTTTTTTTCAAATACTACATAAACATTTCAAATGAGACTCCTTATGGAAAATAACGATCGGATTTGGCTGAAATAGATTCATAAAAATGATTAAATCTAAGAAAATCATCGGTATTTCTACCTGTCTGACCAACGTTTTGTTCAGGGATTTCCCTCTACTAGCGCATGCGCATAGCACACCATTTCTTTGTAAACAAAATGACTGGCCGTGTGAAGTAAGCGAAAGAAAAGTGTTGTACCGTGTCAGCTACGAAACGAAAAGTTGCCAAATGGTCAAAAGATAGCGCAAGGAGTACGTTACGGAATCATTATTGCAGGTGGGCAGTATTCAAAGGAGAAAATAACTGCCGTAGCAGTTAGTACGGTGCATGTATTCTTCCGGATAGCCGGTTAAGCTGAAATGGAATCGACAGAAATGCTAGCGCTGTTTATNGCGAAAGGAAGGGATAAGTGACTGGTTAGTTTGATTTTGCCATGAGGCCCTCCAAGGATAACTGTTGTGATGACCCACGGCGTATTTTCTGGGTCACCGAGATACGTGTTATCCAAGTCCGTGGATTTACATTATTTATAATATTACCGGGTTCAATAAAATGGTATGATTTAATTATATTGCTGAATTAAACGATTATTTTTGTTTTTACATGCAAGATTTAAATTAGTACTAGTATGAATACCCGGCCTCCTCTGCCCCGGCAAAAAAATCAGAAAGGTTTGTCCCTTGGTGTAGGGAAGGTGTTTAGCCCCGTACCATCTGTACCGGCCACATTCCGGTATTAAATTCAATATATATTTAAATATATCTACTTTATGTTTATGCATATTATCATTGCTGACATTTAATTGTAAATGTATGACCGGAGAAGGCTGTGATCAATTGTAAAAACTTGTGCCCCATCCCTTGTTTAATTTTATTGGCACCAAATTTTATGTTTAAAGCTAAAGAAATTTCAATTCTGAACACTGGCAACTGTGCAATTAACTTCTAATGATGAATAATTACTGTTCAATAAGTTTGAATACGGACTTAGAAATCATATAACCTGGTTTCATAGTGCGGTAAGAGGTTGCAGTTGCCCGACGTCCCCTCTCTGGGGCCCCCTTTGGAAACCGTTTCATCGCGCTTGCACCACTTGTGTTAACTGCCTAGTCAGGTGACGTTATCGGTGCTATTTTTAGCAGGGCTTTCCCGAACAATTCAAGTGGTCAAACTGGACATTTGGAACGGACTTTGAATATGGGGATAGCGAGGTAACATAAGTGGAAGTGCATACAATACATACATTCATTAAAAAAAACAACGACTTTTTACCTGATGTCCCTTTAATAGTTCATTGCTAGAAGCGAACAACATTGAAACCTGATCAAATGAATCAGTTTTAATTAATTTTTTCGTTGAGCAGTTTCTTTAACAACTTGGTATGATCCCAAACATTTCAGCATAGCCAGATGCTGTCATAACTATGAAAGAGGAGAAGGTAGCAAGCCGTGGGATGTCTTTCTCGGTACCGGGTCACGTGGCCAGAATTATAGATGAAAGAAGTATCGTGTGATATTATATAAGCTCACAATTACTTTTCAGCAAATGAGCTTTAAATTAGAAGGTAATTTTTCCTAGTTAAAAATTACAATTTTGATCTATGAATTGCAATTGTTTCCGAGTTATTATTGTGAGTTGGCGAATCAGTTCATTACCTACTAGATAGAAGTCGGAATGTACATTGTACTTTGGCACATAACCTTTCTCCTGAAGTTCAGACTAATATGCTATTTGGAGTGTTACCATTCAACAACCACTCAGCAACAGACAGTCGTCAAAATGTCATTTGGAGTATTACCAGTATTTCTGCATACCCGAAAAATTATGCCCAGTGAAATTTTCGAGCTATGCCCAATGTTAATTTCGCCCTTCAAATTTGATAGGTATGTTCATTGTTTTGTTTGATAATGTTCGGTGTAATGATTAATTCTTTGCCCTCATGACAGCGGGCGAGATATTTAAAGAGAATGTTAAACTGTGTGAATTTTTTCAGGTACATGTATGATAATAATAATTGGTTATAGGCCCTTTGCAACCAGCCAATATCTTTCTCAACTCCCTGGGGAGCATACGGCCGGTGCTGCCATTTCGGCGCTCACAGCTAGCATTCAACAATTCTAGCACTGTCCAACCACGTACTCATTTACATCTTAGTAGACTGAAACAAGCAGAGCTTCGGTCACGAGCCCGGCGTCCTACCACTAGATTATCGTGCCTCCGTATACAGTATACTGCTAAAGTACGCAGAGATGGAAGTATCCTTTGAAGTGTCATTTGGAGGGTTACATTTTTCATGCTGCTAAAGTACAAACAAAATTGTCTTTTTAAGAGTTACCTTAATTTGACCGATACGAACAGGCAGAAGTCCTGTGGAGTGCACATATCCTTAAACCACAAACGATAGGACTAAAGTTGGAGCTGGAGTGTTACCAACCAACGACTTGAAAAAACGATAGAGTTTAGTGTCATATTGGGTGTTATCTATTATAGATAAACTGTTTTCTTTTTCGCTTCACTTGAAGAATAAGAAAGTACCTTCTGTATCACCAAGCATCAAGTACAGATACAAAAGTCGAGCCATGCTGGAGCCTGCACAAGGAACCAGGAAACACTAACAGCCATAGTTATTCTAGAACCTCGAATTACTTCTTGTTTGCTGCTGTTGTTTATTAAAGTGAGAGAGAGGTTGCCAACTGTCGCAAAGCATTGTTACCTGATGTCATAATTAGAGGTGTTGCCCACTAGTGGGAAACCAGAAATGTTTACCAACACCTAGCAGGTCTATCCCATGAGTCAGGAGTGAGGAAACCTGTAGTGGTGGTGAGAGAAATCATTTTCTCACCTAACAACACATCTATTACCTGCACTCCAAACAACACCTCTAGTATCTGTTGCCATTCACCTTATTGTCGCTATCATCTCAGCACTGGTCACTGCTTTGACCAAGATATTCATCACTCCATATTCTTAGGTCTATCTATAGATTTTGTCATCTATCATCAAAACGTTTATGTCTCTGGTACTGGTCACCACGCTGACCCTGGTGTTGGTCTCTATGGTCATTGCACTGGTCACTGCGCTGACCCTGGTGTTGGTCTCTATGGTCCTCGTACTTGACTACCTCTTCTGTTGTAAGAAGCTCTAATATGGCACACATGACAGCCCCCTCTCTGCTTTTTTTGGACCAGTCTGTCACACCTGGCCGCTTGATCTTTTCCTCCAATATTCTGTCTAGTTGTTGTCGAAGGTCCTGTAAGTAAAATAATGATTCGTGAATGAAAACAGCGGTCAAGGGTTGTACAAACACTTTTCACATTCCCAAAACAGCAAATGAAAACAAGAGGCCCAAGAGGGCCTGTATCGCTCACCTGAATATTTAAGCAGTCATAGCAAAATATTCTCATTAAATATTATATTGCACTAAAAATATTTCCCTCGCAAACTTTGTTGGCTCCATCTGTTGAAACTACCAGCAAAATATTATTTTAAGATTCTATGCTTTTTGATTCTTCTTCAGAAGTTGCTTGACATATTTTTCCCTGTGATCTTGTAAGTAGGTCAATGTCATTTTCCTTCTCAAATTGGTTAGCTCTATTCCAAAAAGCTACCAGCCAAATCTTATGAATCCATTCCTTTTAGTTCTCAAGAACAAATCCATTAAAATGTTGTTGACCTCTGTGACCTCTAAAGTAGGTTGAGGTCATTTTCATTTGCAAACTTTGGTGAGCTCTATCCCGGGAAGTCACCAGCCAAATATTATAATTTTATGCCTTTTAATTCTTCAGAAGAAGCTGTTTGAACTGTTTGACATATTTGAACGCTGTGACCTTGAAAGTAGGTCAAGGTCATTTTCATTCGCAAACTTTGTTTGGCTCTTTCCCAGGAAGCCACCTGCCAAATATTAAGATTTTATAACTACCAGTTCTTCAGAAGAAGTCGTTTAAAGTGTTTGACATATCTGCCTCATGTGACCTTAAAAGAAGGTCAAGGTCATTTTCATTCTCAAACTTTGTTCGGCTCTTTCCTAGGAAGCTACAA